TTAATAAAGATTGAGACTTGATTTTGCTTATTTGCGGTTAATAAAATGTTTGTCGATCCCGATTATATCTTTAACCATCTTCCTCTCGAGTACTCGGTCGTGAAGTATTTCCAATTCATCGAGGATAGTTATTAATAACGAGACGCGTTCATTAATAAAACTTACTATCAAGTCAATATAGAATATACGTCTTATAATGACCTGATAGTAGCAATAAAACTTAAGATGAAATCAACTGAGATTGACAACCTCAACACAATCGGTTATTGGTTTAATGAATATAATTAACCCCCCATTAGATTATAAACGATGAGACGCATGCATTAATAATCCAAGTTTACTACCGTTGAAAGGACCGAACGATTAATAAGCATATTCGTCGATCTATTCTAATAATAATTAATATATGAAACAAAACTAGTTGAACCTTTAAGTAATGCTCAAATATTAATATGATGGAGATATAATATAGGAATGTAATTAATATTCAAAGAAGATGATTAAAGAAAATAACTCACAACCTACAAATCATAAGCTTCAATGTAACAAAACCAAGATGCTTGGGAGGGTTTAACTCCTCATTTGAAGACTAAAAATGCTAGAAAATATAAAGAAAACAATTACCTAAACCGAGCTTAAGAGTATATGTGAATTGGTGATTTTATTGGGAAGGAAAATAGGTGTATTTATAGGTGTTTGGAGATGACAGGGCTTGGTACCCGACCGAGTATATAGGATACCCGATCGGGTATTTGAGGCACTTTCCGGAAAGTCACTTTTCTAGACATTCCTGGTCGGGTATGAGCCAAATCTTCAAAATCCTGCACATATTTTGTCTCTTTAGATTTTGATTTTGACACCCGAATCAACTCAATACTCAATCGGGTATTGCCTATACCCGAACGGGTATATGAACTATTTTTTCAATCTTCTTTTTGTCTTTTTCCTTTGCACTTCCCATGATCTTCTAGCTAGGGTCCAATCTTGGTCCTTTGTAACTATTTAGAAAAATAAAGTAATTATACCAACATTGTGTAATTTCCACAACAAACAATGAAACTAAAAAAATGCAACTACACATAATAAAAATATAACATTATCAATACTCCAATTTTGCAAATAAAAAAAAAAAATATGATCTTTCTTGGCATGTAGGCGTAGATCGATGACCCATTCAATTTTATGAGTACCGATTCCCACCACACATCTTTTTTCCATCATTTGCAAATTGCAATGGAGCCAAATACTCAATTTTTTGGCTTAGGAATATGATAGAATAAAGCAAAATGACTCACTAATAAACTGTTTGAGCTTCTTTGTTATGAAGTAGTAGTCAGTCCATGCAATTTTTGGCGCGATTTTCACTATGAGTCATCCAGAGACAGTCTCTCTGTGCTTTAGTACATGGGTAAGACTGCGTACATCCGACCCTCTTTTACCCCACCGTAGGTGGGAGCCTTTGCGGCACTGGGATGATGATATGTAGGTGTAGATCCAAATGCATAAATTAATATTTAATTTGGTGGTTATACATTTTTGAGAACTTTCTGTTATATTTTTCAAAAAAAAGTCTGAAATAACCATAAACAAAATTGAATTCAAAATTCATTTATTCTTACATATGAATGTTTGTGATGGCCTTACCGACTCGAGGGGTAGTAAAATCGCCGGAGAGTAAAAAATAATGCTAAGTACGAACTTAGTAATTAAGAAATTTGACAGAGTAACAATATACTAGAAAATCATAAGTGTGATCCATTTTCATAAGTTGGAAGGTGATATTTAAATTGTACAAGAAATTAATTGGTGAACAAGTAAAAGTGACAACTCCACTAGATATGTGCCACATATAAGGCTAATTGGTGAGATAATATCCTGATTACTTGATTGGTACTGTTGTATCGACCTTTATCCTTTGTGCAACAGAATAGCTGGATCAGGATCAGCCACACATGCAAGTTTGGATGCTGGCGGCTGCAACCGAATGAGTGATGTTAGCCCTAAGGACGACTTTCACAAGATGATATAATCTCCAAATTAATGGTGTGTAATCTCAGTGCTGAAATGACTAAGTTCACGATGTTCATCTGAGGTTTTGTCTTCAACTCGGCCTAAGTGTAGAGATGACTAACCCGAGTATGAATGCTAAGATTAGAGACATGCTAAGATTAGAGACAAGGAACCTCGGTCTAAGTGATAGGTGAGGTTGTCTTTGTTGATCTTCAGTACATGATGTTAGATTGGACCTTGCATTGGGCTCGACCATACTGCTGGAAATGCCACTAACCTCGGCCAAGGGTCGATCTCAGCCTCAACTATAGTTTTGGACTTAATTGTCTTGATGATCTAAGAACCGGTCTTGAGCTCGGCCTCGGCGAGATCGGCCTCGACTAGCTGGATTTGCCTTAGCGAATCTCGAAGGTTCCTTATTGTAATGTTGGTATGATGGTATCTAATGTCTATGGGGCGTACGAGAATATACTCCACCAGTTTGAGTATTTCAATCATAATTATTCATAAAAAAAATTGTTAAAATTTTAATATATACTCCGTAATAATTACCGAGTATAAGGTTTTAATTGAAAACCGCCCGTAGCAGGTGAATATGTGTATCAGCAGAACATACATGTATGCACGTACGTCTTGATTTAATATGCGGTACAATTTCATATTTGATTCATTGATTTATTATTCAGACTAGAATATTAGGTATCTTAGTTTAATTTGTTATTCAAACAAAGGGAAAAAGCTACCACATTTCCGTAAATAATCTTGACCAAGCCGGTAAATCCTCTAACATAATGTCGTGGAATTGATAATTCCATCTAATTTGATATCATTTCATTACAATATGTAAGGAACCAAGTTGGCATTTTAGTGTCTAGTTAGGTTGTGCTTAGCACTAACCAAGCAAAACCGAGTTGAAATAATTCACTATATGCATGTATCATACGAAAGAATTGGCCCTTCATGAAAATAGCTTGAAGCTGGCTAGCAGCCTAGCATGTCGTAAAGCATCTCTCCCACAAGACACAAAAACACGTTTACTACCAAATCCCCGCGTGTAACTAACCAAATAGACACTCTATCCCTGTTCCAAATAAAGACTTTTTATTACTAGTATAATTTTAAGTCAACCTCATGCCATCTTTTACCATTCAATTCTTTTGTTTTTCCGCTAGAGAATTACCATTCAATTCTTATAAAAATGATTTTTGTGCACCAATTTTTTGAGATGAAAATAGAGGGTTTCCTAACATATTACTCCTCTCATCTCAATATTATCTTCATGTTTTTCTTTTTCATCTATCCCAATATAAACTCCTCTTTTTCTTTTTAGCAAAAATGTGTGATTCACGTTATTTGTCCCCAATTTCTCTCTCCTCTACATTTAGGATATACATTTCCACTTTCTTAATATGTGTGCCAAGTCAAAACAGGAGTTAATATTGAGACGGAAGGAGTACTGATAAGAAACCTAATGATAAAAATGTGACCTATAAGTTATTATAATTAAGTTTTGTAATCAATGCAACATTTGAATATAATTATAGTCATTAAAGTTATTAGAGTCACATTTTTATCTGCCTCATTTATTTTAGTTATTACGGACAGAATATATTAGACATCATATATTTAGCCTATTTCATTACTGGCATATCTTTATTCTTGGAATGTATTTTATTTCTTTCCTTTCCTAGTTTATTTGCTTGATTAGCAACGTATGCTACTGCTATATATGTAGGCCTTGTACTTCTCTTCACATATACGAAATAGACAAATACATTGCATTATTATATTCTTTTGTCTTCAGCCATTCCTTCATGGTATCAGAGCCTCCGGGCAGTTAACCATCGGCAGAAGACTTAGCCATGGCAGTAGATAATGAAGTGGCTGAGCCGGCAGGGAAGATAGATCACACGTCACCGTATTTCTTGGGTCCACAAGACCGACCAGGAGACTTCATCACACCGGTAAGGTTGACCGGTGAGAATTACGATGAGTGGTCCAACTCAATCCGTCTAGCACTCCGGGCAAGACGGAAATACGTATTTTTGGATGGGAGTATTCGTGAACCGAAGCCCCCCTGCACCAGTGATGATTGGACAACTTTACACTCAATGCTGATTTCGTGGATTCTTAACACCGTGGCTCCGGATTTGAAGCGCACCCTATCGAACTATGAAGATGCCTATGAATTGTGGACGGATCTCAAAGAAAGATTTTCAATGGTGGATGGCCCACGCATACACCAGGTCAAAACAGACCTGGCTCGCTGTGAACAATCGAAAGGGACGAGTGTGGGAACGTATTATGGAAAATTAAAAACTCTTTGGGATGAATTGACTAATTTCGAACCACCTATTACCTGCAAATGCGGCAAATGCACCTGTGACTTGAACAATCAGCTGGAGAAGCGGCGAGAATCTGAACGCCTTCATCAATTTCTCATGGGCCTGTACACCGAACACTTTGGACCAGTCCGCTCCCAGCTTTTGACGCAGATCCCTCTTCCATCCTTGAACCGCGCGTATCAGCAGGTTTCCCAGGAAGAGAGGGTTAGAGGGATGGGGCAGAGTCGCGAAGATAAAACAGACCTGGTGGGTTTTTCCGTTCGTACTGATGTGCGTGACAGAGCAAGGACCGGGAAATCAGATAAGGCAGGACTCGTTTGTGTCTATTGCAAAAACCCAGGTCATGACATCTCAAATTGCTTCGGAATTATTGGGTACCCGGAGTGGTGGGGCGATCGACCTCGTTTGGAGAATAAGGGAAGCGGAAGCGGACGTGGACGAGGAATTGCTGGACGCGGTGGACACAACGGTCGCGGTCGTGGCGGAATCCGCGCACACGCAGCTGCTGTAGATGGGGGACCTTCCTCGTCTTCTGTTCGCAAGGAAGATACGCACGAGGATTCTGGATCAATTGAACGGGCTGATATACTGGGCCTTCCGGGTTTCTCATCTGATCAGTGGAAAGCCCTTATGGCAGCATTTGGTAAACCAAACAATGATCGAATATCTGGTAAGTTTGAGGTTATGTCATGGATTATTGATACAGGAGCCTCACATCACGTAACTGGAAATGTTACCTGCTTATGTGATATAAAAGAAATTGATCCCTGTTCCGTGGGGCTTCCTGATGGGCAGAAAGTTCTGGCAACGAAAGAAGGATCTGTGCGATTGACGGAGACAATATATTTGACTAACGTGTTGTTTGTCCCTAAATTAAATTGCAGTCTTATTTCTGTATCTCAACTTACCGAGGATATTGACTGTTTTGTCCAATTTACTTCTAACATTTGTGCTATTCAGGACCGACACTCGAGGAGGCTGATTGGAGCGGGTAAGCGGAGGAATGGACTTTATTACTTTGAAGACTTCTCTCGTGTCCATGTTGTAGGAGTAAGCAAGAAGAATGACAGTATGGATACTTGGCATCAACGGTTGGGACATCCGTCAGAAACTGTGATGAAATGGTTGGATCCTGTGAGTGGCATTCAAAGTAGTATTTCTAATCCTTGTGAAATTTGTTTAAGAGCGAAACATGCAAGAGATATTTTTCCTACTAGTGTAAGCAAGACTACACGTATCTTTGAATTAGTGCATTGTGATGTGTGGGGACCATATAATACGGCTTCTTCTTGCGGAGCCAGAAGTTTTTTGACTATTGTTGACGATTTTTCTCGAGCTGTCTGGGTTTATCTTTTGGTTGATAAGACTGAGGTATTTTCTATGTTTATGAATTTTTGTGCAATGGTGGACCGCCAATTTTCTCAACGCATTAAGATGGTGCGTAGTGATAACGGGACTGAATTTAATTGTCTCAAAGATTTTTTTCGTACATCTGGTATTATTTTTCAAACCTCTTGTGTGGCCACCCCTCAACAAAATGGGCGGGTTGAGCGAAAACACCGTCATATTCTAAACGTTGCCCGTGCTCTCCGATTTCAAGCTCATCTCCCGATTCACTTTTGGGGGGAATGTGTTTTAACAGCAGCTCATCTTATCAATCTCACTCCATCAGCTGTCCTGAAGCACAAAACCCCATTTGAGATTTTATTTCAAAAACCTCCTGATTATAAAGAACTCCGGGTGTTTGGGTGTTTGTGCTTTGCCTATAATCTTCGCTCTAGCAAAGACAAGTTTATGAGTCGCAGTCGAAAATGTGTCTTTGTGGGTTATTCCTTCGGGAAGAAAGGATGGAAGGTCTATGACTTGGAAACTCACGAGTATTTTACTTCTCGTGATGTTAAATTTTTTGAGGATCAATTTCCTTTTGCCACACCATTAGCTGACGACCTGGAGGAATCATCACCTATGCCTATTATAGATACCTGGGAATATCCATCATCTACTCCTCCGCCTACTTCATCCTCGGAGGTTGCACTCCCACCTACATCTACACAAGAAGCGTCCGATATGGATCCCTCTTTGGATTCTTTGCCACCAGATCTTGGACGAGGAAAGCGGCTCAAGACGCCTTCAGTGCGTCTCAAAGATTACGAGACACATACAATAATCCATGAAAGTCCATTCCTCGCTCCGCCTGTCTCCTCTCGCCCCTCAGGTACCCCGTTTCCTATAGCTCATTATGTTAGTTGTAATAAATTTTCCCCTCGTTATCAAAAATTCTTGTCAGCTCTTTCAGTTCAGACAGAACCGACTTCTTTTCAAGAAGCAGTTAAAGATGCAGGATGGCGAGAAGCTATGCGAGCAGAAATTCGCGCTCTTGAAGAAAATCATACGTGGACCATGCAGCCTCTTCCTTCTGGAAAACGAGCTTTAGGTTGTCGTTGGGTGTATAAAATAAAATATCATGCTGATGGCAGTATTGAACGACTTAAGGCTCGGTTAGTTATTTTTGGCAATCGCCAAGTTGAGGGACTTGATTACAACGAAACATTTGCTCCCGTTGCAAAAATGGTCACTGTTCGAGCATTCTTGGCTGTAGCAGCATCTAAGAATTGGGAACTTCATCAAATGGATGTTCACAATGCCTTTTTGCACGGTGACCTAGATGAAGAGGTATATATGCAAGTACCTCAGGGTTATGCTGCGTCTGATCCCTCTCTCGTCTGCCGGCTTCATAAATCTCTGTATGGTTTGAAACAAGCACCACGTTGTTGGTTTGCTAAATTGGTTGGAGCCCTTAAGAGATATGGCTTTCTGCAGTCTTATGCAGATTATTCCTTGTTTACTCGGACTAAGGGTTCTATTCAATTGAATGTTCTGGTCTATGTGGACGATTTGATCATCTCAGGAAACGATCATGAGGCTATTCTTCATTTTAAATCTTATCTCAGTGATTGCTTTCATATGAAGGATCTGGGCACACTCCGCTACTTTCTTGGTATTGAGGTTGCTAGGAACCCCTCCGGCTTATTCCTTACCCAACGCAAATACACCTTGGATATATTATCCGAAACCGGACTTTTGGGCAGTAAACCAGCCAGTTTTCCCATTGAACAAAATCATTCTCTTGCTACCCGCTTCAGGCCCTCCTCTTGCAGATCCTGAACCTTATCGACGCCTTCTTGGCCGACTTATTTATCTTGCGGTGACTCGTCCGGACCTGACTTACTCTGTTCATGTTCTTTCTCAATTCATGCAGGCACCTGGCCAAGCTCATTGGGATGCGGCCCTTCGTGTTGTGCGCTATTTAAAGGGTTCTCCCGGACAGGGTATTCTTTTGCGTTCTGACAGTGATCTCTCGCTTACAGGATGGTGTGACTCCGATTGGGCGGCCTGTCCTCTTACCCGCCGCTCTTTGTCTGGTTGGCTGGTTTTTCTTGGTCACTCTCCCGTTTCCTGGAAAACTAAGAAACAATCCACCGTCTCTCGTTCTTCTGCAGAATCTGAATACCGGGCTATGGCTGCCGCTACGTGTGAACTCAAATGGCTCAAAGCTCTTCTTCTCAGTCTTGGTGTTAATCATACCAAGGCAATTCCACTTTTTTGTGACAGTCAATCCGCTTTACATATTGCTCGTAATCCGGTGTTTCATGAACGCACTAAACATATTGAGGTTGATTGCCATTTTGTTCGAGACGCTATCAAGGAGAACCTTATTGCCCCGAGTTATGTTCCTACCACTGTTCAACTTGCTGATATTTTCACCAAGGCTCTTGGGAAGACACAGTTTCAATTTCTTCTTCGCAAGTTGGGCATCTTGAATCCTCATGCTCCAACTTGAGGGGGGGTATTACGGACAGAATATATTAGACATCATATATTTAGCCTATTTCATTACTGGCATATCTTTATTCTTGGAATGTATTTTATTTCTTTCCTTTCCTAGTTTATTTGCTTGATTAGCAACGTATGCTACTGCTATATATGTAGGCCTTGTACTTCTCTTCACATATACGAAATAGACAAATACATTGCATTATTATATTCTTTTGTCTTCAGCCATTCCTTCATTAGTTGTATATTTGGAATCATTTCGAAGAGAATACTTCGTATGTTTTTTGCTTACACCAATAAGTTTTTTACTATGTGCTTTTATATGTGTTTAGTTTGTGATTTACCAAAAAAAGTGTTAAATGTTTGAAATAAAAAATTATTGTTCATAGAAAAGTGATATGGTTTGTCTGAATTGTTTTTTTGGGTATTCTTTTTACACCCGTGGACATGAAATCTTACCAACAAAATAATACGGAGTATCAGTGAGTAAAAAATCTATGACACGATTACTCAAATATTAGTACGCAACTTATGATACAACTACTCCCAAAAACTTTTGGGTGTTATTAATATTATTATTATTATTATTATTATTATTATTTATTTATTTATTGTTCTTTATAACCTATATATTCCCTAATATTATAGTAATTGTTCTATGTTAAAGACCAACATTATTGACCTGAGATGACATAATTGACATTCAAACATGTGACATCTTCTTTGAGAGTATCACACTAATACGATCAAACTACAAGGTAGTAAAACATTATCAAAAAGTAAAAATAAGAGTATGGAGCTATATTCTCAAAATAGGTGTAATTAGTACTTTCTTGATTCCTCCTATTTTACCCGTACTATCTTTTGATATGAAAATTACTATCTCCGTCCCAAGAAACTTTTTCATTTTAAAACTTTGATCAACTACATATTTTTGGGAAATTATTTATAACACAAAAGATATATAAAAATGTTCTTTGTTAAAGTACTTTCATAAAAGTATAAAATTTATAACATCATAATGATATACTAATCAAAATCATGTTCAAATTTTATGAAATGACAAAGTTTTTTCGACAAGCCTCTACTGCCTTGCAGAACGTACTGTCACAGACTCACAGTCGACCACCGAAAAAAATGTCATTTTGCATCAAGAGTGCTACTTTCACTCTGAAAAATGTCATGAATTGAAGATGCACGCGATTCAATTGCATTATTGTTCGTGACTTCGTGTAAAATATCAGAAAATGCAAAGCTGTGCTCAGAAAAATGATATGAAGATTACATTCCTAAATCACGACGGCATTTTTTCTGGTAGTCCATAATGGTGGTGCTTTTATCCTAAATAATAATATACTACGTATGATTTTCTAATTAAAATATGACAACCTTTTGAAGTACGTAGTACTCCGTAATAAATTGTGGTTAAATTGATTCATCTCTCATTGGCAGAAATCTCAATTATACAAATTCTACTTTAATATTTTACGTGTAAGCCAAATTAAACACGAGTGAAGTTTTTTAGGACAAAGGGAGCTAGTATATGTTTTAAGTAGTGTGTGGATATGCTTCATAAAACGGCTTCTGCTCTTTTAGGAAGCGGAAACATATATTTAGTGTTTAGCTTGCGTGGAAGTACAGTAGTACTTGTAAGTGTTTCAAATGGCTCATGAAGCAGTTTTTAGAAGTTGGAGGAGATTATTTTCTCAAAATTTATTCCGATTCTACTTCAATTCTACAGTGGAGAAACAAATTAAAATCAATTCCATATACCCTAAATATAATGTCGTACTCCTATATATTTAAGGACTAGTTCTTTAGTCCTTGAATGCCAAGTGCATCCTAAAGTAGTCAAAGTCATTCGGCTATTTCTCATCACATTCACATTTTAGTATTGTACCACGATCATCATGATCGATTATACGATAGTATTAATTTTTGAGTTTGAACCCCATGTTGTTTACGAAATCTAGGGCATAAATATAATAAGGTGACAACTCCGGTACCTTTCTAAAAACAGGGGTACCGTACCTAGCATTCATTTGATTGGACCACATCACTTTATCAATTTTAATTTAGATTTAAATAATTCAACTGCTACCTATTCATTGGTCCATGTTGACAAATGTATAGTACCTTATGGATACCATAGAAACTACCATATAATAATACTTGGTAATTAAACATAATATGATGTGCAAAGTCTAAATTAAAAGTTAGCATTGGCCTTCTCCATTTTTTATTGAAAAAATTCAGTACAATGTGGTTCATTTAAGGTAGTTGTGCCACCAAACACAGCTCCGATCCACTTACAACGCGAATTCTAATTCAATTATCTTTAGTCTTTACACCACTTTCTTTTATAAATGTATAGATATGTGTTGTCCCAAAGTTGTTTAATTATTTGGTCCCCGTATTTCAATTTCAATTCGAGATCTACGCGCTTTCATACATTCCAAATGGTTACGTTGACTATATATACATGCCCGAGAAGTCCATTGTTTAAACTAGTGTACGTTATTCTGCTATATATATACCAGTTTATCAAACGCCAAACATACCTCAATCTAGCTATACTACTTCCTTTTACTCCTTAATTAGCTATATCACAAATGTGTGTATAAGTGATAAATATACAATTATATAATATGACTAAAGATTGCAAGGTTTTTCATATTTTCATTTGCTGCTTCATTATTCTTGTTCTCCTTCCGGTATGGCTATCTCCACCCTGCGCCGCCGCAGCGGTTGCTCCACCACCGTCGCCCGTCTCGATATCCACCCTTTGTAAGTCCACTCCCTACCCAACCTACTGCCAAGCCGTCCTCCCAAACGGCAACTCCTCCGCCAATGTATACGACTACGGCCGGTTCTCGGTCCGGCAGTCGTTATCCGCGGCTCGGAGCTTCGTTTCGTTGATCCGGACCTACCTCCGCTTATCCAAGGCTCTGACCACTCCTGCGGTTCGGGCTCTTGAGGACTGCGAGCTCCTGGCCGGTCTCAACTTGGACTACCTAACCAGTTGCTTCGCGACGGTCAACGGGACGTCCGGCAGTCTGCCGTCAAAGGAAACGGAGGACGTGCAAACGCTGTTAGGTGGCATTCTGACGAACACGCAGACGTGTATTGACGGCCTGCAAGACGTGGCGTCCACGTGGAGTGTGAGAAACGGGATTGTATTGCCTCTTGGGAATGATGCGAGGCTTTTTAGTGTTTCTCTCGCTTTGTTCACCAAAGGGTGGGTGCCTAAGAAGAAGAAGGTAATTTATAAACTCATTTTATTATCCATACGTCGGATAAGGTATATTCTATGGTACCCATAAGGTATTGTACCTTTGTTCACAAAGACCAATCAGAATGTTGCAGTTGCATTATTTAAGTCTAAATTAAAAATGATATACCTATTTGAACCAATCAAGTGAATGGCAGGTACGGTACCCCCATTTTTTAAATGGGTATCGGAATTCTCGCCATCCAATAATAACATTTAGTTGTATGGAGTACTTTTTTTAATATTAAAATTTTGTTAATTAATGATTCTTACATTAAAATCTATCTTTCCTCTCACCATAAAGTTCTTAGTTTGACTTTTAGAGCGTTTAATCCATTATATTTAAAAATATAAACTTATTAAAAACTATAATAAATTAATACTATCGTATTTGAATAATATGCGTAGTACATTGCAACGAAGTATATCAAATTAATTTTGTGTAAGATAGTAATGTGAATTTTGAATAATTAGTAGTCAAACTTTATAAAATTTGTCTCAAAAAATCAAATTGGGAAATTTAATTCTGAGACAAAGCTAAGAAGGAAGTACTTTAGTGTAATTATCTTTAAGAAGGAATTTCACATAACAAATTTCATATTTTAAATAATTTTGCATTCAAAAGTATCATTAATCAAGCATCAACTTCATTGATAATAAAAATCAATTTGATAATTTTTTTAGATTAGAATGGAAGGAATATGTTTGTTAATTTGCTTATTCAATCTTGAAAGCCGCTTGTTAGTTACGTTGTTACCAATTTTAGCTCATTAATATGCCTTTCGAAAGCTTAATCTAGTCTAGTGGAAGTATGTTGTTTGAATTTAATGAACTATAATCCTCCCTTTAGAAATAACTTGACCCTACGTTCTTTCACAATTGTTCTATAATACTGTGCCTACACTTTTCAAAATAGCTAGGCCTATACAGTCTTATTTCTGGTATAAGTTGTTTACTTATGATGTACATATATGGCATGGGCATGTTAAAACCAAACATTGCGAAATCTTAGGTAAAAAAAACTTGAAGCATGTGAATATCGTCCCGATGGTACTCAATCGATATTCCAAGCTTGAAGCATGTATTTTCTATGTCCCATCACCCATGTCTATTTTTGCAAATAAATCATTTGTGAGATTTTAATACCTCAAGATTTTAACAAATTAGAGAACACAGTATATAAATGTATCTTGGAATTAAAACTTTGTCTGTTATGTACCACGATAGTGTATAACAAATTGGGACCTCAAGAGTAAGAGTGTATGAGTAATTAATATGACTATATATCAATCAAATATTGGTGATATACTACCAGCATACACAAAATCTGACACATGCATAAATTATGACACTAAATCTACATATTTCTCCATTTATTAATTAAGACGGAGTGCATGCCAATGTGAGTATTGAAGGAGGTCTTCTAAGTAATACTATGTAACACAAAGATCTTCCCATTTTGACTTTTCACGATCTTCTAAGTTGAACTTTGACTCTAAATATCTACATATCTATATTTATAAAATTCATAATATATTAACATTCAAATAATATGTTTTACAATGAGGTATATAAAATAAATTTTTAATCATAATATAATGTGAGTTTTGAATAATTAATGGTCAAAGTTTATAAAGTTTGACCCAAAAGAGTCAAACTGGGAAGATTCTAGAGTTACGGAGGTAGTAAATGTATGCTTAACAACAGGGCTGGAGTTGCGGGGCTGATCGGGTTCTGACCCACCCCAAATTTGAAAGTGATTAATTGTACCTTTCCTTAAAAAAATGAGAAAATTATTTGTTTTTTTGGTTTCGACCCCTCATAACATTTGCTTCTCGCTATGCCCCTACCAAACTGCAGGGAGCTAACTCGCATCCAACCAAGAGGCAGCTCGGGTTTCAAGACGGGCATTTGCCTCTTAAGATGTCGGGGCGGAGCAAGGCGATTTTCGAGAGGCTGAGCCGGA